CGCCTCGGAAGGCTACAGTTGTACCATTTAAAGCACAACGCAACAACAGTTACGATACAAAATTTAAACCAGAAATAGGTTTACCCCGTGTTATTATACTCTCCCAACATCTTCCGTGACTCTCGAACAAGGTCATCCTGATTTATAGGCCTTTCGTGAAGCATTTATCAATGACAAGGAAGTACTGAGTAAGACAGTACACCGACTGGTAACAACATGTCGGAACACAGTAAAGGTTTGCGACAGGAAACGTCAGGCGTCAGATAGTGTTGACAAGCGAAGGATTGCTGGTTTCAACCTGATGAGTCGACGGCCCACACTGCGAATATAATTGCTTTACTGCGTGAGTTCTCTGGCGAGGGCAATGTTGGGTGTGCCCTTTGAAAACTGTGATCTTCAGGCTTCACTCCACCAGACGTCTGTATGTGGGGATGTCTCAAAGAAGGAGTTAATTCCAGTAACACACGGAGGAACGGAAGAACTCCCAGTTTCAAGCATTTGCCCAGAAACATTGCCTTCAGTACTTGGAAAGTATTTCTACAAGCGATGGCCGCAATACGGTCGAGAGGGGGATATTAAGAATGTACTATTATATTTCCGTTCCCTTATGAACGCTTCCCGGTCATGTAACGGAATCCGTCATTTAACGTGTTAAGGTATTTGAAATGAAATATTTATTCTATTTACTGTCAAAATAAATTATTTACGTCATTAATGGTCTGTTGGTTTACCGATCAGACATGATTATATGCGACGCCACTGCTGGCTGTTCCACCCATATCACAGTCCGTTACTGCCTATTCCTTCCGTTTCGTGCAGCGCTTTCTCTAGTCATCACGCGACACTCTTGAACTTCACAGTCAGCTGTGCGAGGCCAGAGACTGAAATTCCATAGGTCTTGCAATTATTGTAGAAAATAGGAGATGTTTCCAGTTTCTTCCACCATCAGCCAGAGGGTCACTCGTGAAAAGTCGGGATGCTGCATGTACAGGCCGACGTCACTTGTCAGTAATAGTCGAGACGACAATTTGGAAGCGCTAAAGTTAGCTAATGAATTGGTTTGTGAGCTTTAAACTCTGATTTTTACCTTTAAACCGAATTATATTAGAAATGAAGACCTTATTTAGGATTTGAGGTTTTCACTGCGGTGACTCTGAAATGTTGGTGGACTTGTACCAGACTGCAACAACCCAGAAGACAGCAATCTTCAAAGGTGCGCGACAGATGGTAAATGTGAAAAGTTATCTGTAGCTTAAGTGTCTGGGTTTGATATGGTCGATAACAGTATCGGAGAACACGTTTGTTCTCCGCTTTGATATGTAGGAAAGTATCTGATAGTGCATGAGGTGTGACAGTTAAAAAACCGGATCGAATCTTTAATATGAAGCGTGCTGAAAAAGTATTGCACTGCGCAGGGACTTGGATAAGATGAACGTGTTTTATGCTCAGGCATGGACACAATTCATTACATTGCTTCAGTAGTTCGTAAAAATCGTTGATGTCAGAATATTTTTGTCATGTGTCGATGCTAACGAGAACACAGAACAACGCACGTGGTTTCAATTTAGCTAAAGATCGGAAAGACTGCAAGTGAATATTATCAATTGGCACACAACAAAAACTGTTTGAGTCTGTAGGCTTGTATCTGATTTATTTTGCACAAACCTGCT